ATGGGACAATGTCACCACAAAGCAAACCCACCAACCAACCAACCAACCCTGAAGGTCACAGCGTGGATGCAGAACTTGTGAGCAGAACCACGTATAAAGTCCATTGTGAAGCCCATGAGTAAAGCCAAGTCTGTTTTTTCTATGTGATCTAGACAGCCTTGAAGAAGTTGTTTTGACAACTCTGTCTTGTATAGCCCGGGAGACTCTAGGACATTGCATGAAATTTAGGATACGATAAATCCTGTACAACTGAGACAAAAGCAGAGGTCTATTTTTTAAAACGGGGATTGTAACACAAGTACAAGTGCATGGTCAGGTCACTGTAGGATTTCCTCCCATTAACTGCTGTCTGCTTTAAAGGCTGTTAGCCCATTATTTGGCACCTCTTTTAACCAGAAAACTAAAACACAGGCAGTGGGTAACAATAGACTTTAATGATACACCTGGTTAGCACTTAGTGACTTCCATCTTTCAGACCCAGACTGAATGCCAAATCATCCTGGCAATTGCATTTCTTGTAGTTATCAGCCCTTCTCCTTTTTAAAATACATCTTTCTGACAGCAGCCCACAGCTAGTATTTCCTTTTCATTCTCTGAAGTGCAGAGCACTACAAATACATCATTTAGCTTTGCTGCAGTCCTTTCTGTCCTTTTGATCATCTCCTTTACACCCCTCTGCATTTCTGCTTCATTCCCGCATGTGCAGTACATCAAAAAAGAGCTTTGCAGCAAGTACTGTGGGCTTTTCAGGGTGTTTTTTTTTTCAGGGACAGAATCCCAACTGCTGTAAAACAGCACAAATGCCACTGAAATCAGCACCATTATTGTATTTAAACCAGCTCAAATACTGACCCTAGGTACTATTTCAGATGGCTTATAATGCAACTAAAGCTTTAAAATTCCTGGAGCGCTGATTGCTAGCCTGGAAATTTCCTTGCAGAAGTGTTAAACTCAATTGTAGTCCGTTACTCTGTGACTCAAGAATTAAACCATGAACGATGCTCCCCTCTTCCTTCCATTCATCCTGTTCCCTTAAAAAATGGTTTATGATGCTAGTTTTTCTAATAGTACCTAGTCTGGACAGTTGCTTCTTGCATTTTACAAACTGAAACCACCCCCATTTGCATTTGGCTAGTTGTTAGCGGAACGTTTTTTGCATATATTTATAAAACCTGATTATAAAACATTTTACTTCTTTCAAACGCTTTAAAACAGAGCAATATCATAGTATTACCAAATCGCAAGCATGGATTTCCCCAGCTCAGAGGCTGTCAGTGCATGAACTTGGGAAAAGGCTGCAAAGGAAGTAGCGTTAGGCTTGGGGTGATGGACAATCCTGGCTCTTGGTCTTAAGGGTTCAGCTTCCACTGAACACTACATGGTTTTCATGAGCACAGTAATCTTAACAACTCATAAATACCCTGAAGAAAATAAATACTATTTGTCCTAATTCATAGATTAGGAACTGAAGCCCAGGGCTAAAGTAACATGTTCAATATCCCAATATCCCAAACCGAAGTTAACTCTGTATTTCCAGTCCCTGCCTAATGATCCAAATAGTGGACACCCCCTTAGCTCTACTCTCCCTCATACAGAAAGAAAAAAAAAAAAAAATCAGCTGTCAGATAACTATCTCAGATCTGATGTAAAATATGATAGCAACAATATTAACACACACAGTTTTACCATCGCAGAAGCTGACAGTCCCATTCCTTACCCAGCTGGCAGGAGTCTGAACTGGGAAAAAGGATTTTCATTGCAATTTTCTTGCGTTGAGTATTGTTCCTGAGTAATAACAGCTACTCTGCCTCTCTACAGAAACCTCGGCCTGTTAAATTGCTGCTGTGACAGCTGAATCCACATTTCAGCTACAACAGTGGGAAGCGCTACAGGCAGGGCAATGCCCCCGAGAGGAGAGCATTTCTCAGTTCATGGGATGATGAAACACATGTGAACTCTCTGTGCTCCAGCCAGCTTCTGGGAAACAACCTCTCTGTGCCACAGTCCGATGTTGCACTGCCTCAGTACTTCTCTCTTTGGAAAGAAATCACTGCTGTCTCCAAAAAAAAGAAGAAAAAAATTACTTCAGTAGAGCAGATAAGTTGGCAAGAAAAGTAGTAGGCAGTAGCCCTAAAACTTTACAGAGGAGCACTGCTGAAATGTACCTCAACATCTGACAGTTTGAATTGTGCATTTCAGGTTTTAAAACCACAGAAACTTTGGTACACATCCATGTGAAACAGTTCATGTTGCTCAAGCACCACTTTCAATTTTGGCTGGTAAAGAAATAAAAATGCAAACCAGCTCCATGGCAACCAGCACATAAGTGAGCGAACTGCCCAACTGTGCCTTAATAGAGCTCCTTCCTCTCCCCTCACCACATGGTGAAGGTCGCTTGTTTTAGATAAGCACATGAAGTCATCAAAAGGAAGAATAATTTAAAAGCCTGACAACTTTTTTCCTCTATTTTGGAACGTCCGTGAGGACTGAGAGCCAGACTAACAAACTAACCAAGAAAGGAAAAAGTGTTTAGCCTGCCCAAAATGAAAATGCCTAAAACTTTTCGCCCTCCCTCCCTCCCTCTTTCCTTCCTTCCCCTCCCACGGTTCTCCCGGTGACGCCTCCCCTGAGCCAGCATTACCTAACTTTTACACAAACACACTGTTCCCATAAGCATCAACTTCAAACAGCTCTGGCTTTCTGTCTGATCACATCTCTGTTCAGGGGAGCAGAGGCAAAGAGCTACTACTGAGGGGTTCTGCAGCAACTCCGCAAGGTAATCAACTTGTTGGATTTTTACTTTTCATTTGTAATGCTTAACTAGTAGTTAAGTGGATGGACCCCAAAAAAAGCCTCCTGGCCAGCTGTCTGGCTGGAATGTGTAGTAGGAGAAAGTTATCTATAGAGACTCAAAAATAGATTAAACAACACTTCGGCTTACTTGCTTCCTGCAGGGAAAAAGAAGCAGTTTTAAAGATCAAGATCTAGTGTAAAATATAAAATCACTAGTATTTCTTTTAATCATGGGTGTTGGTTGTATGTGTTTAAACATGCGTATGCATTCTGATTTAGTTTCAATTCATCACATTAGACAGATTTAGAAAGCAGCAGTCCACCGGGACCATGCTCCAGCTGTTCTGCTCAGCACTGCTACAGGCTGCGTGCCTTTTTCTCCAGATAAACTGCTGCAAAAACCCCTTAATTCTTTGTAGATTCTTGTACCTTCTGCAGGCTCTGAATTGCCAGGATGCTTCTGCTTCTTTCTCTGGTCACTGGGCTTGCCCTGTCGGCCTCTGGTGTCGTGACAGACAAAGAAACTGATCCAAGCCAAGAGCTATTTCATGACATACAGAAAAAAGTGAACGACCTCTGGCAGAATTTGGTCTATCCAGTAATGCCTGATAATGAGACTGATGGGATGACTTATGCCACTTGTGAAATGAAGCCCAGCTCCAAAATAGATGCTGACAAGCCACAAGTAACCGGACAAGTCTTATTCAAACAGTATTACTCATATGGAAGATTAGAAGCCATTTTTCACTTGGATGGGTTTCCGTTGGATAATAATCAGTCCGGCAGAGCTATACACATCCACGAGCTTGGGGATCTCAGCAACGGCTGTGATTCTACAGGAGGACACTATAACCCTTTCAGCGTGAATCACCCTCGTCACCCAGGGGATTTCGGCAACTTTTTTCCTAAGGAAGGCAAGATCAGAAAATACAAAACCAATCTCTCTGCCACTATGTTTGGTCCCTATTCCGTCATGGGCAGATCCGTTGTGATCCATGAGCAGGAAGATGACATGGGCAAGGGCAACAATAAGGCTAGTTTGGAAAATGGAAACGCTGGGAAACGCCTGGCTTGCTGCGTCATTGGAATATGCAATAAGAACTTGTGGGAAGAGAAACTGTCTGAGGTTACAGACAAGAAGAAGAGAGGGCTCAGCAAACGAACACAGAACCAGGCTTAAGTGAAGACCAACGAGCTGGCTAGAGCCTGGGCAGCACAAAGTACCCCAGGCTGTGCCACTGGCCACTAAGATATAGGGATAAAGGATTCCCCTTTCCATTTGCTTGCTCCTCTAAGAAATGCATATCACTTTGTAGAGCCTCCTTTCTGTAAGCCCATCAATAAAAACAGCATTAACTCAACACTGTGATGTATTTTCTTGAAGAGGAAAGATTCCCTTTTATGCACTTTGGGAGCTGAATGCATACAAGTAAGAGTACTGACAGATATGGTTGACAGACTGTAAAGAGTCTGTGCACTGTAAGGGGCTCTTAAGGGATCTTAAGTTGAATACCAAAGGAAAAAAAAGGTAATGAGTAAGAAATTGCCTCTCATTAGACACTATGCTGTATTTAGCCGCAAATCTGAAAGGCAAAAAGATCTCTATGCTTTCAACAGTGTTGGGTGTTGTGTTGCAAGACCTGGATAATCAACTTCCCCTAAAAATAAGGGAAAGTACAGAAATTTCTGTTTGAAATTTTAGATCCATTATGCTATTCTAACTTGTATTTTCAGGTTTTATTCTCAAATACGTATAAGCTTCTTAACTATTTTAAACTGTCCACATGACTATAGCTAAGTCACACTGTTTACATCTGAAAGTAGACTTAAAAGAAATATTCCAGTTTACCATCACTCCGCAGCAAAAGTTCCCTAAAGCCTCTAGTTTGTGCCTGTTGGTAATGAATTTGTATACAAAAGTTTTAATGCTGCTTGGACAACGATGATAAAGTTAGCAGATCAGAGATAAACATTATTTTCAAACCCCCAAAATACAGAGTGTGTTTCCTCGTACAAAAACATAGGAAGTGAATTCAGGCTGGGAGAAGTGTCAGTGAAAAGATTTAAGTCAGACAATTTTCAGACTTAAAACTCTCACTCAATAAAGCTTTACTTTTTTAATTTAGCACAATTCACTGAAAACACTAAAACTCTACCTCCTGACTATCATTCATCTGATACTGAGAAAAGAAAAGGAAACAAGCAGGTAGAACAAGCATATCAGGAAATGTTTTTATTAAAGATGACAAAATGTATTAATATAGTTTAACCGCCTTGTGCAGTTAATCCAGGCAGCGACAAAAGAGAAGTTTGCAAATAAATTAAGCTGCATAATTTCTAAAGTAAAACTACAAAACAGAAGCTGGTAAACAAATTCCTATCTTTTAGAAATGTAGCAGGCTTTCAACTTAATCTCAGTTAAGATTTTGAAATACATTCCTGAGCTCATATAGATTAAAGAAATTCCACTGTCTTTATTATACAAATTCCCATATGCTTAAAAATAGTCTCACTTAGAAAAGAAGCAGCATTCTAAAAGATGCTTCTTAATCTGCCATTTTCACACACATATTTTACAAATGCAGTGAACATTGTTCTTCAAGTAACCACAACATTGTACTTTCAAATGAAATCCTTCTCACAAATAATACATTAATTCACTTTTAGGTGAGACAACCTCCTTAAAATCAGTTTGCAAAATGCATCTTCTCCATACCCCTGCCACAACATTCCCTTCCCAGTTTGTGTCCCCAAAGCCCAACACCAAAAAGGCTTATATGTCTGAATGCAATTTCTGCATTTCTGAAGTCCTGGAAAAGGGAATACAAGTCTAATACAAAAAAAAAAAAAAAACAAACCAAAAAAAAACTCCAACAAAATCAAATGAACGAACAAACAAAAAAAAAAACACAAAAAAAAACCCCAACCAACCCACCCATCCTTCCATCCACTCCCCCAAACCTAAAGTAATGTTGAGTCCATAACAAAACACTAATTTACTGGGGAAAAAAACATCGTAGCACAACAACATTAATTAAAGCAATAGACAAGGAAGATACTGACAAGAATATTCAGTTAGTTATCACATAGCGCAAGCAAGGATGTCTTCCTTTTACAAGTCTCCTGGCTTTGAAGTCTTGTGTTCCTGGGAGAGAACTAAAAACATAGCTAGAATACACATTCACCAGGGCAGAGAGGAGAGGGAGAGGATTGCGGCAGTGATATAGTGCTAAAAATGAGGTTTCCTGAGAGCTAGGTATCTCACTGGAATTTAATAATTGCAAAGATATAAAAATGGCATCTAAGAAGGAGAATGGTGTGAGGATAATTACCAAATGCCCTAATTGTTGGGTTGTACATCACTATTTTCTCAGAAAAAAAAAAAACCATACTAAAAAGAATCAACGAATGAGGCACTAAAAAGCTGTCGGTCCAGCACCGCTTCTACCTGCTCAAATTTTTCCACCAAGGTCTTCATTAATTAATAGCATTAACTGGCTGTTAAGGGACCAGGAACAAAATGCTAACTCACACAACTGTGGGTCAGGAAAGACACAGGACAGGGAAACAATATGCCACCTCAACATTTCTGAGCTCAGCTACGTGAAATCTTGACCTTCTTATTTGCTTGCCTCAATTCTGACTGCACTGATATTTAGTTCTGCACAGGATTAGTCTGTGAAAGATAGAAAAAAAATACATCTTGAATAAAATGCTACTTCATGTGACATTCAAGCATTAAAGGAAAATATCCTGCCACATTCTCCTGGAGATTTCAGTTTCTGCATCTATTTCTCTTCCGACTTGTCAGTACTGTCATATAAATGAGTCAATAATGCAGTCAGTTACAATTAATGGGAACAGCTTAACAATATTTCAAATACTTAAACTCTTCTTGGTTTTTCAGGTGATGAGGAGCTTAAATGGTGATCAGGGTAAAGAAAGAAAAACTTTTTACTGCTCATGTCCCTAATACGCTTTAAATATACAGATGGTTTTTGTTCCTAAGAGCTGCTGTTTAATATCAGTGAAATGCTGCAATGTCAAATTACCTTTAAAGAGAACTGAAACATATTTGAGGAGCACTGTGAGTAGGGCTTTATTGCCTGCAGACAGACACTGAAAGGGTTACATGAATGCACCTGCAAGGGAAAACACATGAGAACAGAGACAAGCCACATTTTTCATCTTCCCACTATCATTCCTTATATTTATATGTAATAATTTACATACAGCCTTTCTTCTGCTGAATACAAACTGTTCATGGACTCTGACACCTTGATTATGGCAGCACCTGCTAGCTCATCTTCCATATACAGAAGAGTTTGTCAGTATCGCTAATATAAACTCTGTTTATTCAGTAGCTGACAAGTGGGCTGTAAAAATTTGCAGCTGGCAGTTATTTGTCAAAGGAGGACTCAATCTGGGAGGGATTCTCCTTTTTATTAGTAGCATTTTATTAAATTTGGTTTCATTCTCTCTGATTGGTTTCAAGCTCTAGGAGTGAGAAATGAACATTTACAGACAATTAGGTCCCAAGCCAGCAGAAATATTGCCTTGACGGCTGCTGGCCCATAGAAGTTCCACAGCTGCAGCGACTATTCCTTATGCTACAAACAGGAGAGGAAGGACGTGCCTCCCCTTCTCCAACAGCTGCTAACTTCAACATTAAGTATTCCCTTGTTGCTGCCTTCCTAGGAGCAGAGTGGCACGGCTCCAGCATCAGGAGCGAGCTAGGGAATGACACAGCAGCCTTCCTTTTCCCCCGTCATCAAAGGAATGTTTTCCTACGACTAAACATCAACGAGGGAAGAAGTTTAAGAGGCAACAATGCATATAAGCCTTCTACCACACCACAGACTGGGGAAACGAGGAGGAAAGGAAGACTCATCCTTCATTCCAAAACATAAGAAAATAAAAAGGACACAGATTCCTTTAAAAAGGAGGGCACAGATGGGGTAGGCTGAAATCCACCACCCGTTACTCAGCCTGAGGGCTGTTCCAGCTCCTGTAAGTTGAGGAATGCCATTCCAGTAACTGAGAGCCGAGTAGGTGGACAGCACATCACTGGTTCTCCTCTTGCTGTTCTTGCTTTGGAACAGCGTTGTCATTTCTCACAGGAAGACTTCTGGCTTCTCTGATGATGTTTCCTTCAGAGCTTCCTTAAACTGCATTTTCAGTATCTGGTGAAATAACTCCCTGCATTTTCATGAGATGAGCTGGGAGACGGAAGGAAACATTTTGTACAGTTGAGAAGATACAAAGGTTTGTAATGAGAGAACTGTATACATGCAGGGATGGTTTTCAGAAACTTCCTATGAGGGAATGGTGATTTTATTCTAAGGCTGTATTTACAGTCACTATATGTGAAGAGGCGTGGAATGCAGTCAGAGAAACAAGCAAAAGCTTACAGCCTTAAGATGCATCTCAATTTATAACTCCAAATTTTTCATCCTTAGAAGACACTTCTAACCATTAAAATACAGTCCAGCACTAGGACCATACACGTTACGGAAGCCTAGTGATAACATTATCAATCATTATCATTGGTCTCTTTGCTACACTAATGTAAATTACATCAATCTATGTAGAAACTTCAAATCATTACAAAAAAACAACATGATTAAACCTCATCACTCATCACTAATTCTTTCCTTTAGGTAATTTACGTTTTTGGTACACTGTAGCCAAAACTAACAGAAAAACACCTCTATTAGACAAATATTAACAGTTCAACATAAAAATCAACCCTATGGCACACTGTTTCACTGATCATATTCACAGCAGCCCAGACACTGCAAACAGATTACAGTGAGATGCTCTAGGGCCTGGATTTCATACCTCAAGCCAAACTGTTATCCAAATATACAGTTTTCAGCAGGATTGGATGGTTTCTTGTTTAGATTCCGGGAGCTCCTCGAAGCTGTTATTTGTGTGTGCAGTTGTAACACTGAGCCCTCCGTGCCTTCCAGGGTCCTCAGTGTGCACCACATCCACGGTGCTGCTATTTCGACCCCCTCTTTCATTTGGAATTTCACAATCGCTCTCTGAGGTTTCGTCATTGTCTTTCAGAGCCTCGGTTTCAGCTGTTTGTTCGTTCTCTGAGTTGGAGGGGTCTGTGGGGTCGGATGGGTCAGGGCTAGAAAGTGGGAACTCTCCCTCAGATGAACCATGAAGCTCTGCTCCAGTCACCGGGTTCTGCTCCCCTGCAGAAGCGCCTGCTCTTTTCCCTTCCAGTTCTGCAATTGCCTGCTCTGTCAGTTTAATTATCTGACTTCCAAGCTTGTTTATTTCTTCTTCCTTGGAAGGTAGCTGGGGTAATGAAGGATAAACATGCTTATTCTGTTTTCTGTTATTTAAGTTTGTTCCCTCTGGAGCCAGGGACTCACTTGCAACAGCACAAGTTTCATCACATTCTCCCTTCTGTTCTGCTGAAAGAGAAACGGAACAGCGAGATGCTCTAGTCAGTCACAGGTATTTATTACGTATCTGACCTGAAGGCCATCACCACCAGTGCCAGACCACAGAGATACTTACCCCAGTAAGGAATTTCTAAGAGTGATTCCCTATCCTATCCCAGACCCATTTCTTAGATGATAAGCAATCAACACTAAGTTTTTTGCTGGATTTGGCCCTGTTTTGGAGTCTGTCTTTCCCTAACACCGACAGCTGTAGGAGAGTCATAGTCAATACCATACCGTAGAACAGCAGGGTCAGGCAAACTTTTTCAAAGGAGTATTAACTCTAAGCAAGGCATTCAGCCACCATAATTTTTGGCAGAGCTAAACATTAATCCCCACATCACTACCACCTTCAAGGGTTAACACACGCTCTGTTTATTTGGAGCTTTTCATAGGCTTTCATCCAATAATGAAGTTTCGTTATTGGTCCTGCAACATTTCTGCTAACATAAAAGATTATTCTAATTCAGGTAGCAGCATAAAACAAAGCAGCAGTGGAAGAATTTTAAATATACCATTATACCAAAAAGCAAACACTGAACAAAGTGTCAGAATAGAGAAAACAGCAATGTGTAAACAAACAGCTTTGTGAAAGAGAAAGAATTTGTCCTCATCTCGGTTAAGGACAAAAAACCTCATTGAAAATAAGCTTGCAAAGTCAAAGAAGAAAAATTAGGAAATGCCAGAAGTATGGTTGCATTGACAGATTAACATGACTCTTGTCATGCAGATGCATTACTTTTTAGTATATGAGCATTTACTTTATTTCTCCTGCAGGAATCCTGCCTCACGCAATGCATGGGACAGCCTGGCTGCAGAGAGGGACCAGAGCTACACAATACAGAAGCCTACTGTCTCCATCAGACCCACCTCATCTATAATTTGGGAGCTGCCGAGTGAGACAAGGGTTAGCATGAAGGAAACAGACACTCTTACTACCATTAAGGAAGCCAGGAATGCTACTCTGAAGAGCTGGAATTTAAGCCTGTGGAAAAGGCAGGGATAAATTAATTTTCAAAAGGTGATCACCCACTGGATCCAATCCTCATTATCTGAGCACTCAGCTGGAAACCTAAGAGCTTGATTTGCACTACTGTTCTGTTCATGTCATGTATCTGAACACACATACTCCAAGTGCTCCAAAAAGAGTCAAAACTTATGTACCTCAAATTAGCACTTGAAATTAGCAGGGACGCTACCGTATTCTTTGCATGCCTCAGTTTCCTCCCTCTGCAGTGGGATAACACCATCCCATCACCCTGCTGCAGTTTTCTGAAGATAAATTGTTTCAAAGCACTACATCACCAGAGAAAAGTTCAAAGAAAAAAAGTACTTTTGTCTTCAGGGAATGCTTGAAATAGCACACAGGTAATACAGCAGGAACAATGCATTCAACAATGAAGAAGAAAAAAACCTGAATAGCTGTTCATTAGCAGCTGTGATGCTTAAGTACAATCTATCCCACGACACTATCCATCCTGTGCATTGGATAAAGTGAGATTTGGTGGCACAAGACAGTCTTTAATTTATAGGACTGTACTATGTCATTATGCATTTTCACACGGGAACTGCACACTGTATCCTACAGACTTCCACCATCCAGCTTAACTGAAATAAAGATAACAAGTATAGACTAAAACAGGCCTTAATGAGGCCAGGGTAAGCAGATAGATTAGATAAAAAAAGCCTGAAAAGCCCTCTGATTATCTGTGGATCTAGCTAGAGTAACATTTGATGTATAATAGAAAGTTCTGATACAGAATGCACGTTAGTGCAAAAGCTAAAAACATTTCCTGGGCCAAACAGACATGAAATATCAATGGCACTATTTAAAGGGCCACAGCTGACTGACATGACCTCAGGCCTAGTATTTAAAGATATGTAAGAATGTCATTGCTATTCTTCTTATCAACTGTTTTAACTCAACTGATCATTCAACTAATAGGAAAATAAAAGTGGTTTTGCTTTTATTTCTGGAATACTTTTAAACCAAGGGCATACTTACTTCGGAAACAAAGGCAGATGAACACACTTCTATGTTCTTCCCAGCTGCCAAGCTCCCCTAGATTTTGGAGGTGCACTGTATAGATGAAAAATTGCTGTACGCACCAAGCTCCTAAAACTCAACAGCAGAGGGTCATTCTCTATGCGGAGTGGCACAAAAGGTGACTCAGTGTATTGCTCCCGTTTAGCTGCTGAACGTGGAGGAGCTCTGTGACTCCAAGCACAGGGCCATGCTCTACAGCTGAAAACACGCCGCTTCCTTTCCGGGCTCCAAAGGGAAGATGGCAGCCCCAGCTGCCATTGCTCCACCGACTCCTATAAGCTATGGTGTGCCCTGCACAGCTGGCAGTATACACGTGCTCATCTATGCCAATGAAAAGTTGGCCCAGTTTATTCAAGCTGTCACAGAGGTGAGTTTTGTCTGAATACTCACTGCAGGTTATCAGGTACACTGGGCCACGTGCAAAGGGAAAAACCAAGCTGGTTTTGCAGCCGGAACAGTAATTTCTTAATCTACTCCAGTTTAATGACAGGATTTCTCTGATTGATCTTGGCTCTGTTACAGTTATGGGATGGGGAGGAGGAAAGAGAGTGATGACCTACCGGGAGCTGATTTTTCCCACGCCACAGGCCTAAATATTGTCTGCCTTCTCCTCCCCAAGGCTGTTTTCTTCTACTCTTCTCTTTCCCTGCCTACTTCTTTGTACCTGCCCTATATCCCTTTGTTTATCCAGTCCCTATGCTCATTCTGTCCATTTATAATCCACCTTTCAATCTTTATCACATCTTGCTTTCACTGTCAGCATTTCGATTCCTCACTCCTGTGCTCTGACCTCTGTTCAGCCAGATGCAGGTCACCCCTCACTCAGACTTCCTTTGACTCAATTACAGAAATACTAAATACTTGCATGTTAAAAAAAACAACAACAACAAAACAATCAAAAAAAAATTAAAAAAAAAAAACAACCATAAAACACACGGTCATCAGAATTGACCACAAAAAAGTGATCTGGCTGACATTAAAAAAATCAGCTGAAGTGGAAAACAGCATGGAAAGCTTCAGCCCAGAGCTAAGGTTTGGCAGTGTTACAAAGCAGCAGAAACAGGGTCTGATGAGATTTGACAGGCAGCTTTAATCAAAACTGTAATACCAACCTCACCTAGGACAAATATGTAAAGGAAAGAGCATAATGCCACCAAGTAAATACTTTCAGTAACTACAGATTTAATTAAAAATCAATGATTAAGCAGACAAAAAATGAATATTTATGAGATATTATTACTCACCGGAGAACTATTCACTATAGTGTCACTTCTTATTTTTAGCAAAAATATCAGCTGATCAAGATTATAAAAAAATTATCAGTCCGGCTGTCAAGTTTTATCAGATGATGACATGGATAATAAAGTCAAAATTAAGCCAAAATCTATTTAGTTTCAGGACTAACAAATAAATTGTTTATGATGCTTCATGGTTAGCTGAGTAAGATCTGGGCATACCAAAATGTTACGCCCATTAAAGAGCTTATCCAAATGCCGATAGGCAAGCATAATAATCCATCTCCCATCCATTATGAAAAACTAAGGGAAAAAAAAAAAATCAAGGTTATCAACAAAACGCTATCTTCTGCTACTGTCAAATAAAGTTAAGCTCGACTTTGGAGGGATATTATAGCTTGCTATTGGGGAAGGATTTTTAAGAAAACACATGCAAGACTATAAAAAAAGCAGTCAATTTCTTCAGGAAAACGAGTTGGGTATTTCAATTTACTGGGTGCAATCAGGAAGCCTTTCATCTAGGTATCAGCTATAATGCAGGGAAGTGCTAAGCCAGTTCCACAGGCTGCTTTCCTACTGTGCATTTTAACTGAGGGAAGAAGAGCAGGAGGCAGTTAACTGTAACATAGACGGCATGAATAACTTCTCATGGTATCAAGTTATATGCCAGGAAAATTCTTTGAGTTGTAAGACCTGATCTCTAGCCCTATGCAATCTATTCAACAGTCATTTTTCAGTCGTTTCTTTGCTGTTTGTACTGGGACCATCTATCCATTTTACTTGTGGATGATTTATTCAATCTCTGTGACCAGTGAAACTTTGCCTTCTGCTATCCCAGCATGAAAATTTATTACTTTTTATTTGGAAAGAAATGAGTGCTCAGCTCTCATCATGTTCCTTACGATCCAGGTACTCACCTTGTACATCAGTTTTCTGTGGCTTATCAGTAAACGCTAACAACGGTGACCTGGATCGCTGTAGAACAGGCAAGGCTGGGTCACTGAATGTTATGGTATCCTTTCCACCTGAAACAATCGAAGTGTTAGAACCATTAATTCACCAATTACATCCATTGTGCACTAATGATATTCAAACATACCCTACGATTTTTTTGCAATGTTATTGAAAAGCAGAGAACAGGAAAAGCATCTCAAATGATCCTTCTGCAGCATGGGAAAAAAATACTCTGTACTGGAGCTGGAATATGCAAGTCAAAACCAGAAAAGGCATATGTTTTCACCCACAGTACTGAGTAAAGGACAGATTTTGAAAGAAGACCAGCTGCTGTATGCAGCTAGTTGTATTAGCAATTAGCATTCAATTCAGAATATTAATAATCCGATCATACCAAAAGCTTTACAAAGAGTAATGGATCATTTGCATGCTACTACCAGCAAGTGTTCAGCACTGACTCTTTTCTCTCTATTACTCTGCCTCAATGATGAACCTGCTTGTATCACATATGTAGTTTCATGTTAGAGACACACACATATTATCCTGCAATGCTCCTATTAAAAGAAGTATTAAAAGCTTAGCATAACTAAGAACAGAGGGAGCGAAGAAGTATACGTTGCTGGGGAACAGGAGGGATTTTAATCTGAAAATTCCAAAACCACTTCAAAGCATTTTTGTTTTAAACCAAATGGAAAAGGGCAGTTTTCCAGCTCTTCTGTAGACAAGATAGTGCAAGAAACTCTTCAGCTGAGGACCCTGCTGTAGATGCCTACTCTTTACATATTTTAGCAACACAGAAAGCAACTCCTGTAGATGCTTTAGGAAATCCTCCACAATTCAGGATGCTCATGTTTTTAGTGACTGATGCTACCTTAAACCTAGAGGGGAAATGGCAGGAAATGTGCAAGTTCAGCTAAGCGCGGTGTTTGCGAGGCCTCCAGAACAACTGCCAACCCATAAGTAATGGCTGGGGAGGCAGCAAGCTACTGCTCTATTTATCTCCATAAGAACGGACATTTATGTAACCACCACTTCTCCCCTCTAAATCTGTTTGTACGTTTCACCTTAAGGCAACATCCTAAATCTAATCACCCATCTAAGACAAAGACTTTCAAAAGAGCATCGGGTCAGGAGATATCTGGAATAAATCCAGCTCTGAGAAAGTTCTGGTACCTACCAAGAAATAACGAAAGCCAAGCTCTTCACATGGAGTCGAACTGGACTGCTCCTATCCCTAACTACTTTTGAAAGCATTGGCTATAAATACCTTGATCTTGAAGGTATTAGTGATGTTTTGGTATCCTTACCACGTTGGGGTATATACTGCAGCAATATCAATGCAATTAATGCTTTTGAAACATGAATCTTGTCAAGCTTTGATTCCCCTATCAAGTATGCATCAGAACTCTGCCTTCACCATAGCAAGTAATAAAAAAATAATATTAGCTAACAGCAAAGTAGAGAATGTCCCCAACGTAAGGCAAAATTAATTAAAAAAATTTAAAAAAAAGGCAAAACAGATCCAATGACTATTTCAAAATCCAAAAGCCCCTAGACAAATGCACTTTCCTGTAACAGTGAAGGAATTTTGTGTTGAAGAACTAAATCATACAGGGAACAAGTGGTATGAAAACAACCACCACATATTCACACCCAGTCAAAAGTAACCACATACCCAAAAAGATACAGAAGATTCCAACAGAGGAAGTAAAATTCAAAAAGATGATGAATAAAAAAAAAAAAAAAAAATGGGTGGGAGAAGTTTAACAGGACAGTAGAAAGAAGAGAATCTTTTTCTTTTTCTTTTTTTTGAATAAAAAAAAAGTAAAGCCTGAGCTAAAGTCCCTGAAGATTGCAAGACAAGCTTCAAAATCAGAAACATCTTGACTTACAGCCAACATTTACACAGTAAACACATCTACTTTCACATTTTTTTCTCTAAAAACCAACTTGGTTACAGAAAATAAAGCTAAGCTTAGTATCCACACATCTAAGCAACAGATGTGGCCCACAGAGTCCGATGCATACTTATTTATTAGCAGTGACTCACATCCATTCATGAAAGAGGAACATGGGGGTATTGCTGCACTATAGTCTGTGAATCATGATCCAGAGTTGGATTACACACAGAGAATTTCAATTAGCTGCCATGTAAGCTCAGTTTCACAACCTATATAGCTTTCTGTTCCTCTATGCAATGAATTTTTCAAGGACTTTAGCGAAAAATATTCAGATCTCAGAATAACCAAACAAGTTAGTTTTCACTAGTAGTAAATCTTTGACTTTTTTTTTTCCCCCCAGGATTGGGTATCCTCTTATACCCACCACTGCAACCGACTACACCCACAGCAGCTGCCGAGCCCATTAATTCTACCTCGCCTCTGCTCCACGCTGATTACTGCAGAGCAAGAGGCAGCGCTGAAACTTTCTTATCACCCCAGATGGAAAAAGGCTGAGTCACGGTCAGCTCTTTTCTTAGGCTTTTTTTCAGTGGACATCTGGAATTTTCAGGAAATGATAGATTTTCAAAAATACAGAATTACTTATCTGAAAGTCTAGTGACATCAGATTGTGAGAGGAATATGGTGGTGTTTACTATGTACTATTACTGTGTACACTCAGCATACTAAGCATGCATATTTGAACCACAGTGTACCTAAGATAAAGCAAAGAATTAAATGCTGCTGTGAACATCACATTCTCTGCATTCTTCTTAAGGCAAGTAGGTTCATAAAAAGAAAATCAGAGCCAAATCTATGCCCAAGCTTGCTTTCTCTTCATCAATGAACCTCACAAGAAATTTGTTTAATTAAAGCTAATTTTCCAAACAGGAGAAGCTAACGTTTGTGGTAGGTGGAACTACTACAGAAAATGAATTATGCTACCAGTTTCACCATTTCAAAAATTAAATATGCATTTCCTCTTGATTTAGCCTCTCTGTAGTTCATTCATCAAAAAGTAGATGACAAATATGTTACCTAACAAAAAATTAGAAGTGGTCAAGCTCGCTCTTCAATAGGATAAAGTTTATTAACATCATCTATTAACACCATTTGGAAGATATTAATATCATGGTGACAGCGGATGTTATAAATGTTATAGGGACAATGATGCCTAAGTAGGAACATTAACTTCAGATTAAAAACCTGCAATTTATAATGTGCATGTATTTCAGTGCTAGGCTGAACATCAGCTTTCATCTGCGTATTTTTTCCAATGACAAAAAGTTCAACTCACATTCAAACAAATTTTTTTCCTGTCTGGATTTAAGACTGACTAGATGAGATACTCTCCATGTTCTGCCCCTCACCCGAGCCAACATTCAGCTGCAGCATCCACTGTGGTAGTTCCCACACTGTTTGGTACATGCTGCTGTTTTATGGAGCAGAGGCTTTCCATGCTCTGAAAATAAAATTGGTGACCCACCAGGTGTTGCAAGGCTCTTTCTGACCACCTTGGGACTAGAGTGCACTAGAAAGAAAAGTGCATTATTGATTTGAAAGGCAAGCAGCAAATCAACAACCTTTGGTGCTCAACAGAACTTGCAATCCAGTGTAAAATTCCTTTACAACTACTTAAGATCATCCTTTCTTACTATTTTCGTCAATTTAAAGGAGTTGCCTTGTAGAGTGGTCTCTATTTCTCTTGTGGTCATCTAACTCACTTGACTGAACATCCTAATCTGCCAGATACAAAAATGTTCAGATAACACTTCCGTTTATTTACATGCAGTGACAATATTTAACGTACTGCCAAAATCAGTTACTCAAAATATATGTTAAGCAGAACCTACTCCCAAATCCCACTGAGACATTGTAGCTCAGGCCTTCAGGCAGCAAAAGAAAGGAAGGAAAGAGACAGTTGTTATTGTATAAACATTAATTTGATGTCTTACCTACACAGACCAACAATGGCGCAAGAAGTTCCCACTGTTCCATTTTTTAAAATACATCTTGCAAAGAATAGAAATGCTGAATTTACTAGTGTATGAATTTAATGGAACACTATTCTTGGAAAAAAAAAAACCTACAGTACCTTAAACTGGTGAATTTATGATACACATTTGTCCCAAGGTACAAAACCACATTATCAGGGTCTTACACAAATATCTTTTGGAGAATGCGGGGAGGGACAAATGCACTAAGTTCGGTGACTAACTGAAGAGTAATCCATGGAAACAAGTTTGAGACCTTCAGTTCTGTAAAGCATCAAGATGAGAGCCAGTTCCAGAAAGGTGATTGAGAATGCCTACAACAGGCAAGCTAAAGTGGAAATACACCACATCAGGCCAAACAGTTGAACAGCATCCATTTGCCACAAGGCCTCTTCAGCTTTGTCAAATGTCCTCTTCTAGATGGAAAGGTTAGGTGGAAAAAACACAGAGCCAAAAAATCTAGAAGCCTAAACCCCACTTTCTCCCACCCCCAGTAGCACTGATAAGAAGCCATAAACAACAAAGCCTAATGATGCAAACACCAACAATGGAGTAGCATAATTTACAATGGTTAAGGAAGACACAATTAGGTGTAATGAGAAGAAAAGAAGCAAAAAGTAAATGTAAATTAAATATTGCACATTTTCCTAACAGCGAGGTCTATTAGGAAGCAGATTAATCTCCCATTACTTGAGTAATTCAAAACCAAATACAATACTTAAGATGCTACAGGGAATAAGCCTGTTCTAGAGAGATGGACTAGAAAATTTAAGTTCATTTACATTTCCAATTTCTGAGAGTTTATGGTTCTACAGAAAACCATTAAAAATACAGTCATAAAATCCATGGAAGCTACAAGAAGTACAAAATTAATAAATAAATTTTTTTTAAAAGCATAACGGCCAATATCCTGTGTATAATTTTGTTTTATACTGTTTAAATAAAATATTTCCCTTTTTTTTGCCTGCAGACTGTGAAGACAATTTGTTTATTTCCAGTATTTAAAACTTTTTTTTTTTTCAGTATACACATTTGACTTACAAGTTTAAAGAGTCTAGTGATTTTAGGTTTCAACTTAACATTTATTAGAGGTCTAATTTTGCAAATGTGCTGAACAGCGCATTTGCAAAATAACTGTCATTAAAAAAATTATAGCCAAGCTTTTCTTAAATGCAAATATACCCTTGAAAAATAAACAATGCAAGCTGTTCTCTTGAATTTTTACTAACCTGGAAGACTCCACAAGCCAGCAATTTCCAAAGTTCTTAATTTCTTTTCTAGTTCTGCCACTCGATTACCTAGAATTCTTTGGAAAAAGAACACAAAAACAAAAGCCAGGGATTGTCAGCTGAGATAAGATTCCTTGTTATGTTAAGGTAAACAAAGCCCAATTGCTTACAGGACTACAGTTGGATTTTTAACTTGTTACTTAACTAGAGCAGTAAACCTGTATCCAGTCATCAATCTGTCTCTTTTTACTAATGCAATCACCCCCAAAGTTAAAAGAAAATGAAATATAGTTGTCTAATCTATCCCATGGTTTGTTTTTAGGTTTTTTGGTGGTGGTGGTGTTGTGTTTGGGTTTTTTTGTTGTTTTTTTTTTAAGTCTATGATGTACTGGATATTCTGTCCTTACCCTCCAGTAAAGACAAAGAATAGCAACTCACAATATTTCTATTTCCTTGCCTGCAAATATCTCTTCCTGGTTACTTTCACTTTTTCTACAGCTAAAACCAGAAGGTAAAAGCTACACAGATAATATGTGGAAAACTAAAGACGACATCTAGATTGATGTTCTAAGACACAATTTTAGCCTAGTCCTTTAATCACAGGGGTTTCTCCATCGCTAAGATTGCTTAAAATGGCAAGGAATATCTTTTCCACTGCATCTTTTCTTTTAGTGCTGAACTCTGTTTTCTACTTTACTAAAAAGCTTCAAGCTCTTTAGTGCCTTTATCACCCACTCGTAGTTTTCACTGCATTTCTTGGGTCATCTCTTCTTTTGTATCTGATTCCTACACAAATACTATGTGCAGTTAGCTCTCCTGCAGGATTTAACTTTTAGTCTTAATTCTCTCCCCACATCAAATGAAAGATTTCTATCTTGCAAAGAAAGCTCTTTTTTTCCAGTGAATTTTTGAAAGTGTTTCTCTCACAGGCACAGCAAGTCTCCTAGAGTCAGAAGTCTTCAGATAAATCCCAAACAGTACTCAATAGAGTGAGAAACCTAGGCGAGGCAGCAATTCTAAACATGACAGGAGAGATAATGGACAGCAAGTTTTACTCATCAAATTACAGCAACAGGGTAAATCAGTTAAATTTGAACTGAATGCTGAGAAGCAGCATATCACCACACAGCAAGGCAATAGCATCTTCCCATGCTCAACAGAACTGTGTAATCCTGCACTGCATGCTCTCCAGTGAGGGTTTTATACTGCAGACAGTTGAGCATACTGGGAATGCCATTACTGACAAGATGGCAGAATCTGGAAGGGATGTGAAGAACAGCAAAACCAACAAATATCAAAGGGCCTAAGAAAAATTCATTAACAACGTCCAAGTATTTCTGAAGTCTCTACTGTAAGGGCTTGCAATGACACAATAAAAGCCTGTAAGTATTTTAAAGATTACAAAAATATCAAGATGAGAGAGAGAATGTAAAAGAGAAAGAGAAAGCCTACATAATAAATAACAAAGAAAGCACTGAGAGGTACAGAGGTGTATATCAACTAAAAAGCAAACAGTCCATCACATTTACAAGCAGAGTAGAGAAGACATTTGGGAGCAGTTATGTTTATTTCCCCATTGAAACTCAGTAATCAAATAGGTTACCAGGGTTATGATGGATCGATTACTGTCTTCTCCAATTACAACCAAAATTGTTCAAGTCTAGATTTTGCTTTCAGACTGCTTCAGTCTTGAATGAGAGACTCTGCCTTAATAACTCTATTTTCATATCCCAGTGTGTGGCCCAACATCCAGCAACTGCACTCTGCAGCAGAAAGCAACAGTTGATGAAGAAAGGCACAGAGCAACTTTTAGGAAGCGGTACCCTACGCACAGGGAGCCCACTCCCACGTTCTTAAGGCCCCACTAAAGGTCAGCTGGAGGACGTGGAGTTCCCCTGGCTTAGAGCAGGAGGGAACAGACAGAGGTGATGCAAGACTTCCTCTGCGTCTTGTTAGCTCAGCCAGGGAGCCAACAAAACAACGTTGATTTAGCTAATGGTTGTCACCACAAACGAGTCACCAGTTTAGCACTTATACCAGGAAAAGAAAACCCCCATATTATTTTCAGAAGTAGTTCACCAGTAGTTCCATGGCAGAAAAGAAGGGAAAGATACTGCCCTCCCTTTTGGCTAGTCGTAACACAGAAGGAAACTTGATCCTCTTCATCAGGTTCAGTTATTGCTACTGCTCTTGTTATTGAGACAACAATAGCAAAGTCACTTTTCTCTTGCTTCTCTTAAATTTTATAATTAATTTATCAGCTGTACCACGCTATCTCTAAAGATTTTGGAGCAAATATACCCTGATAATTCCTGTTGGATCCTCAGAAGAGGCCCTGAGATATTTTTTAACCTTTGTTTCAGGTTCTCACATAAAAGGATCATTCTGCAGCTCTGAACAATGGTTGTCAAAAAGAGAGGACAATACTTAACCCTGTTCCTTTCATTCCAGAAGACAGCAAAATACATTCAATGATGAGCATGATTCTAGTTTGCTTCAAACCACATTATCTGAAGACAGGTATGAGAAGAATGAACCCTACAAAGCTGCAAGTTCTTATAGAAACAGTTTTTGAAAAATACATGTCTAAGCAATCCCGAACACAGTAGGGTTTATCCCATTCCTTCCTTTCCCCTGTGACCTCCAGACAATTTGCCACCTCCGTATGAACTGTGGGAAGACTGAGCTGTGGTGGCCTGGAACAGTACGTATTTTTAAAGGGGCTGCATGGGTTGGTAGTGTCAAATTCTCTAATTTTTTTTTTTCATCTCTAGCCACAGCAGACCAGATCCTTTGACTAAAACAGAAGGATCATGTTATGGACAAAGGTGCTGATAGCTGTTTCTGTTGCCCTCTGGTTATGTGTCTAATGCAAGAAGGGAGCTAGTCTAAACCTCCCTCCAGGATAAGGTTTTACAGAAATCTGTTGTCCACATAATAACAGCAACACTCCCACCGGAATTTAGAAGCTTCCTTCTGGCTCTCCCATGCTCCCCACATACACGGCTACAATCTGAAGGGAGCTGTGCTGATTTACAGCACCTGAGCTCCATTCACCTCTACTTTAACTTAGATCTTGCTTCAGAAGACATATACCCTCATAGAGATACAATCACCCAAATGTCTGTAAGTAGGGTCAGTCATGGTCACGTATCTAGTTCTATGCATCACATGGAAACGTTCACTCAGTTACAGACTGACACAATCCTTTTTGTAATTTTGGCCATGACTGAGCTTGACCAAGTTAGAAATGTTAAAATTAGTGCAACATGTCCATGCAGCAGAGCAGCTTCTACATTGGTCTGGCTTGCATGGGTGCTGGCAATTTCAGGAACAAATTGCACTACAAAGAACATCTAATAAATGGTTTATTGCTGGCAGAAGAAAAAAAGATTTTTATCAACTTGCTAGGCAGAGTTAAGACTGTTTATTTTTGCATTTGTGTAACTATTTAATCTTGCAACACATTACTGAACACATTACTGCATATGGAATTCGTTTACAACTGCCTTTTCAAATTAAGCTAATGTGCTTGTGAGGAAAAACACAGGACGTTACTTAAACTTAGCAGTAGTAGCTACCAATCAGTTGGGGAAAATGACCTGTTTTCTTCCCAAACAATTTTATTTTTTTTTTTAATCGGGGCTAAAAAAATAAAGGCTGGATTTAGTCTACTTGTTCTTAGGCACATACTCCCACACTTCCTTTTATCATGCCACATATTTAGAAAAGCGGCAATAATAATAGTGTGTCTGTTCCAAGAGCAAGTGGCAACAGATGTTTATAACAACAGTATAACGGCAGAAAGTCAACTTCAACAGCACATCCAAATTCTAAGCTACGTAAAAAAAGCCACTGTCTTGTTATTGCTTCAGTTAATCAGAAAGCAAATCTACCATTCTACTACTGTAAACTTATATAGTTGTATCTCAATCTGCAAGCAACAAAAGAGGTTTTGACTTTAGAGTAGGTTAACCATTTGGAAGAAAACAATTTCATATGGTCTGATTTATTGTGAGACTTCTATTATCAGGAAGTCTCATTTACCGATAATAGAATCACTAATTTGTCAATCAAATATCGAAACCAAATTTCTTCCCTGAATGAAACAACCACCCCAAAATTCTTTACCCAATAAATCTCACTTTCTTCACACAACAATCTCCAAGAGTAACCGTGTCCTCCAAATATGCTCTTTGTGCAGGAAAACCCAAGCAAACAGGACAGAAGAGTAAAGGAATAAGACTTCTACTTTCTGATTTATGTAAAACCTTTTGTCATTACAATTCTCTCTGGCCTTACATCCTTCTCATCTAATGCATATTCTACTGTAGCAGTTTGTGGACCTGCCTGTTTTACTTGTGCACTGACCTCACTCTCACCTCTAACCTTCTCTGACACGTGGGCAGTTTATTCACCATTTTCAGAGGTCAGCAGTCTTTATTTGTAACTTATTACATAGCACATAAGTGTCCCCAATAACCAGCTAATGCCCCTCAATAAAGAATGTTCTTCCCTGATATCCTACCTGCATTTCCCTTTCTCACTTCAACTCTTCTGTGTTTTAAGTGTTTCTACTTGAATTAGTTCCCACTCCTGCTAGCTCCTTAAAAGCTTGTTTAATCTAACTAAAGCCAAAAGAGACAAAAAGAATGAGTGTACTACATAGGAGTGTTGCCAAGGATCTTGACTTAACTTGCCCAGGATTTATCTTTATTTTTTTTCCCCTGAAACATCCTGAACTTCAGCTCTGAGCACACTCCTGACAATGGGAGAGATGCAGACTGCCACCTTCCTCTAAGACCCGATCTCCTATTGGGCATAGAATACTAGTTTGTGCATGCATCCAATCTCTATGTATGGCCAGTTGGGCATGCAGATAAAAGAACTGTATCTCCTTATGGAGGCTTATCTCAAGAAAACCCATAATCAACAGTTGAAAGCAGATAGTGGTATCAGAAAGCGAAGCCAGCATTGCAATGATACCGCTGAGAGATGCAAGAGACTGCATGTGCTCAGAGAGAGATACAAAATTAAGAATGAAGTTTGCTACAGTTACAGGCATGTATGCAAACTAGAACACTACGTAATGATACAGTATCAGTATGTAAAAGGCAAAGACTGGTTAAACCTGGAATAACAAAAGTTGCTCCCTGGATGTTTGCCTTCTGATGTTACATTAGCAGTAAGAAGGCACTAGGCAGGTGTTAGCTCCTCATTAGCACAGCTCAGTGCAAGAACTCCTCTTGCATTACATGACACACAGACATGAATTGACAGAGCTGCCATCCTTTAGATCTGGACTACATTTTCACCTCTTTAGTCTCCCTTTAGCTGATTAGGCATTTGCTTTCTCAAGAGTATTAAAAGTGGCTATAAACTGCTCCTCCACTTCTGTTGCCACATCTCTAAGAATTATGCAACGGAGTCTGCCTAGTATCAGAGTTATCAATTTTCAAAATGAATCATCTATTGTAGTGCAATACTGTTTACTTCAGTAATACTCCCTCCTTTCATGAAAGACGTCTGCCTGCTTCTGGCATCTGGTCCTGATGTGCTTTTGAGAAGCCTGAATAACCTCTGATTACCAGTAGTGACTCAATGTTTAAAAAAAAAAAAAAAAAAAAAAAAAAAATGGAGAGGGAAAAAAAGCCTGAGCGCAGAATCAAGGAACACTTCCTAGCTCTGATTTTCATACACTGTATAAGGGCAATAATATCAGCATGTCAGAAAATGTGTCAAAAATGATTATATTCTGCCATGATAGGAGCTGTGGAAGACACAAAGAATTCTACTGATGAGTAGAACAGCTAAGAGTAAACAAATTCTCCTTGAAAGTTCAGTTCAGGGGTTTTTTTTTAAAAAATTGTATAGTAGCAATCCAACTGTGTTTATCTCCTACAACTTTTAGCAAAGTAACTATAGGAGCAACAGCTATCATTCGTATGGAACGTAGGCAGCTAGCCTGTGACAAATGGTATCAGATCATTTCCTAGGTGCAGCATTTACTATTCCCACAAGTGTTCATTAGCAGTTTCCTACGTTAACAATCAATTAACATTTATCATCTTCTCCAGTTCAAGCGTGTCCTTCCTCCCAGCATCTTTTCTTTAGCCCTCCCTGCAGACTACCTGCTAGAAGTCCCCTCCTGTGTTGTTATGGTTTGACTTAAACCTGAGCAGCAAACCAATCTTTGCCTAGCAGAGGCAGACAGGTCTCTGTCAACCCCAGACTTTACTTTGAAAACATCTTTTTTCTCTAAACACATACTTGATCTTAAAAACTAAGGAAAATACCAGTTAGCAATGACAATGAATTTTCTGTGAAAATGGATCTTCTTTCCTATTTCCCTGAACCCTCCCCAAAACTATGACTTTTCCATAGCTTGATAAATTCTATTTTACTTAGAAGTCATGCTACTTACTTGTTGGTTTGTCTTTGGTGTTGTATGACCATGTTTTTTTCATGGATAGTTTCCAGCAATGCAGTGGCCAGTGATTTGAGATCTGAAATGGACTGTGGTGTGGCTGGTAGGCTACATCCATGATCCTCCGACAACAACTCTTGGACTATAATGTTAAAAACACACATGAGTTTTGTCTTCTCATGCAGAGATGACACAAACATTTACTTAGCATTAAAGAACCATTCCCATTACTTCAACGTATACATATTTTTTCTTTCAATTAACAAGCAAAGCCAAGAGACCAGAAATATAATCTCTAGCTGGGATAATGATTGTGGCTTTCTAATCTGATCATTATTCCACAGCAATTGCCAGAACAAGTACAGGCAGACACATCTTACATTAACTTAATTCTGCTTTTGGAAGATTATTTTTGTTCAGAAGGAAATAAACTCATTCTTCTACAGGCCTACAGGTGGGTAAAAATTAGTCATTTCTCTCCCACTTATATTAAAACATAAGCCCACAAGGAAGCTTTCATATTACTTTTTAGAATTATTATATCCTTCGGGTTATTTAAGACTGATGTGAAAATACAGTCACTCATGAACTCTTCCTCTGCAGCTTAGAGCCTGCAGCTCTCAACCACATCAGGAAGTTCATTATCATCATTAACTCTGGTAACTAGAATCTGGCTCTGCTTCTTTATATCTATCTATATACATACATGTATGCATGTAAGTACATGGAGTAGAGAACAGAAAGTTAAAACCAGAAAAGTAACTTTCAGCCTACCATGACAAATACTACTGATCTCATGTATGTGTGGGAATATACCAACACCTAAACAACAGGGTGCCAGGCATACTGGTTGGCTCAAAGAATTTTCTCTTCCCTTTTCTTTCCTAACCTTGCTATTTTCTTTGAAGGGGGAAAAAGAGATTACTCCATTTTGCTACCCATGAAGAAACATGGGACAAAAGGATTTCTTGCAAAACATCTGAATGTAAAAGCTTCCAAGATCAATAACAAAAACCTGATTTAGGGCCCCTCTCCTACCACCCAGTCTATTTTTCACTGGAATACAAATTGTGATTGCCATTGTTAGCAGAGTAAAGAGATGAATAACGAAGTGATTTGTCAGGGTCAAAGTTGCAGAGGGGTTTAGAGATTTAAAAAAAAAAATGTTGATAAAATTGATGGGGGAGAGAACGAATGGCAAAAGGAGCAGCAGTACTCAAGAGGCAAATTTTATATTGTCAAGTCAACTGAGAAAAGGACAAAAATTAGCACATAATAATAAACAGAAAATGAAGAAAGATTTTGGCTTGGTTGGTGAGGAAAAGGTTACTGAAATTAAGAGGTAAGATGGAAGGAATTAAATGAGATATGCAACACCATGATGCATTTATGTAATACCTTGTTTTGCAGACAGGACTCCAGTCAGAGCACTGCTACTGGACCTACTATGAGTCTTTGAATTTTTTCGTCTCTCTAGTGCATTCTAAGGAAACAACAAATACCTTATTTAGAAAAACAGTAGCCAACAAATCCTTTCATTAGGAATAAAGAATCTGGAAGTTTGGATTTTGGTCTCAGAACAACTCTGTGGAGCCTGACACTTACACCCATAGTAACCTGGGGGAGTGTGATGCTCCTAGAGTATTATTCTCCAGCCAAAAGTCTTCAAAATGTTACAAAGACTCATTCTGTCTCACTGCAATCACTATATTGTAGTCTCTCCCACCCACTTCCCCCAATGCATTTTTAAGATTTGCCTATTTTTCAGTAATCTGTTGAGTGCCAGTGAAGATACTGCAGTATCCTGCAGAGAATATCAGGTGGGAACAAAATCAGACTTTTCCCAGCATTTCTTCAGATTGAGCTTTGTGTTGAAGCCTAACTCCTCTATCAGGGCTTCTAGAAGCCCTTTAATTTCAAATACTTTCAGAAATCATCTGCAGAAGGATCCTGCTACAGAAGTCCAGCTCTTCCGAAACAATTACAGTTCTGTGAAACCCACCAGACCACCAAGATGCTCAGTTCTCACCAACAAACTGACTCATACTCCGAGAGACCCAAGTCATAAGTGTGAACAGACACCAAAATGAACTTGGTACTTTGAGAAGCTTTGCTCATGCACAAAAAGCAATTAGTGCTGTGAGTGCTTCATAGTGGCCTAAATGGTTAAGAAGTCCTATTTACAGTCCTAAAACAATCCTTCCCATGCCCTGAGAAGCAGCCCTCCCCTCCCACACCCCAAAATCACTTGCAGAATAAAAGAGTGCTTGACTCTGGGAAGAGCAAGAATATTTTGCCCTTGGGATTCAGTCCTGAAGATTTCACGCAAAACAGCATATATCTTAACCCAGGAATGGAAGAACAATGAAGACTTAGCAATCATTAAGACACATGAAGAAACAGTGCAGCCATTAGGCAACAGGGAGACAAGACCTGCTTGTGACAGCAACACGCTTTCAGTCATTCACCACACTGTGCTGGACCTACTACTCTTCACCTACCAGCAGGCTGGAAGGCTGATCACCCCACCCCAAGCTGGAGGAGGGTTCCCCCACAGGAGTTAAAAAAGGGTATTTAATTCATTTTTCAGCATAGTCTTAAAGAGTATCACTTTGTCCTACATCAGCTAAGAAGCCTACAAGGAAGACTGAGAATGTAATATGTATACAAATTAATATTGTCAGAATGTTAATGGTGGATTTTCCTTTGAAGATGCAATTTTGTTCTTTAAATGTGTGTGAACATGAGAATGAACAATAACCTCCATGAACAACGAAGCACAGTTTAGATGATGCACTGAGAGGATCTTACCTTATATTTAGTAATATTAGACTTAAGAATGTTGACTTCCTCTTGAAGTTGTTTTAATCTCTCTTGAAGATACCTGAAAAATAAATGTAATCCTTTACTTCATGTTACCTTCAAGTACTGCCTCTAGCGCTCCTCTTCACTATTTGGCATGTTCTGTCTTTGAACTACTGAGAGTTCTTTTCCCTCTGCAGTTCTGTGAGGGATAAAATAACAAAATTTTACTGCTCTTGACCCCATAAAACTTTAAGTAGGGAAACAAATTGCATCAGAAAAGGAGGCTGCCCTTCTGTTAGATTTGTCAAGCATTCTGTGCAACCATTTTGTATCAGTCCTCAGGTTTTTGGGGAGTGAAGCTAAAAGGATATATTTATGTCTAGAGGAAATAGTCAAGAAGCATTAACTCGTGTCCTCTGTACTTGGAGGTTTGTGAGATGGACACATGAAGATTTGTGTATATGTCAACACAAGACTCAACTATGCAGAAATTTTGCATTGTAGTATCCATCACTTACATGGCACTTCTCATTAGCTATCACAAAGTAGAAAATTTAGCAGTATAGTTGAAAAATAGTATACAGTTAACTGAAACAGTACAGTTCTTCCTAATAGAATTTATGTACTTGGATTAGACAGTTATTTCCACATAGGAAAATATCTTTTTCATGTATAAAGGGTTTACAAAACATCCTCTTTCATGTAGTGCAACTGCAGCTGTATTAGGGTTTGTGACAATTTAACTGTTTTAGAGGAAAAAATCATACCACTGTCAGTGGAGCAGGGAGCTTAAATTGATACAGAACTCTGTAGGCCACGCAAAACTGAAAAAAAACCAAGCCTGGAGTTGCTGAGAGGAAGGAAAATGTAATACCAAAGGCATTACTACCTGAAGCATAAGTGTCTCTGTAATTGTTGACATTAAGGGAGGTACCTACTATGGCTATGTCAGTGACTCCTCTCTGTTGTCCTTAGCAGAGACCATAAAACATATTCTTTTCCCAAGAAAGTGGCAAGAATATTTACATGGGTGATTTCACCAGCAACTTTTGTTGGCAAATCACGCCATGTTGACAACCTCTCCCTGTGGTGAGAATTATGTCTGAAACTGTTAACTCATGGTACTCTAAGTCCCTGTTTCCAATCCAAGATTAGCCCATTACAGCTCACAATGAGTTTCTGAAGACACTGATTTTTAATATTGTTGTTTTTGATGCCAGAGTGATGGAAATAAAAAAGGTCTGCACTTCTCTTCCTTTTCCTTGTTTAGCTCTATTTGGGAATATCACTGACATCTCTGTAGCCAAATAAAACATTGGTAATTTCCTGCAGCCTAACTCAACACTGTTTGATGGTTAGTTACATTACAAACAAAACAGACAAAACAAATTACCAAAATTTCTTCACTTTTATTCTTGGGTATATTTTCTTTAAAGTTTTGTTGTGACTGACTTCCTGAGGCTCCTGTTAAAGCAATACATTGCTTATTCTAAGGAAACAGTAAGGTTTGCAATGCACTCACCGGTTCTCCATACATAGAGCATCTACGTCGATGATACGGTTTTCATGCCCTCCTAAGACATGATTAAGTTCTTGGTTTAGTCTATCAGACTTATCTTGGTAAAAAGAGCGTTCCTCTTTCACATCCTGTAACTCATCCAGTGCAGCCTGAAGATCATATCTCAGAGTCTCGATCTGAGAAGAAAGGAGAGCTGTATGACTATTCTGAAGTTTAAACAAAAGATTATATAGCACCCAAACTGAAAACAGCAATAAGCACTGCATGTCCAAACAGGATTGATTTTGACAGTCAAAAGTCTTTCCAAAGCTCATAAGCCCTAGTACTTTTACTCTATTTTGGTATTACTTAATTAATTTGAAGTGAAGTAACTTTAGCAATTAGATATATTTTGCAACATTTCTAGAAAACAACTAAAACGTAACAGCAAAAGAAACCTTAATCCATACTATAATTCTGCCACAAACATATGAAACTGGTTTTAGTATATAATTTCTAGCACTCCAGGAATGAACTCAACTGAATAGGACTTTGGCAAATTTGGAGGATGAAGAAAAAGTCTGTAGGGGGGTATTTATACTAATTCCAGGACTTTCAGCAATGAAGTTCCACAGAATAGGAAGAAGAACTAAGAAAAGTACAAAATGAGCCAGCACGGAGTTGACAGGGTGAGCTTTGCTATGAAGCAAAAGGGTGAAGGAGTCAAGTATGAAAGATACTCAAGGACAAAGAGCTTCAAACATCCAAGGAGAGGAAACGGAGAGTGTGAGAAAAGTCCACAGTGAGTCCACTGGCACCTCAGAAAACACTGATAAGCCAGGAAGGACAACAGAAGACCGTGTGAAAAGAGGCCAGGTGATGAACAGAGACAGTGCGAGCTTGGGAACAGAGATACCAGAAAGAATCACGCTAGGAGAAGACCAAGTGCAGTCAACAGTCCTTCTGGTAAGCTAAAGTAGCGCTGCACTTGAGTGAAGACTGAAAAACAAGAAATATGCACCTCCTCCTGAATCACAGAATGGCTCATTCAGGGTAGAACTGACACTGGCAAGAATGAGTATTGGAACAACAGAGAACACAAACCCCCAAAATTGTCCAGAAAGCTATGTATCAGCATTAGGAAAGAATCTGATGAACTGGATGCTGCATGGTACATAGTATTAATACAGACTTGAGGTACAGAAAAGAGGTCTGATACAAGAATTTTTTGAAGGGGTGGAAGAAATAGCTGAGAGGCAGGAGGAAGAAGATACTAACAACATTTCTACAGAAAATTTGATTCAGAGAATATCTTTCGTAGATGCATCAGCCACCACATATTGTGTTGAGTACTTGTAACTGCTTTCACTAAGGAGTCTTTCAGTGACATTCATTGACAATATTTAATTGTCACAAGTCACTGCTGCACATTATAAAAAGAAGTGAATCAATAATCTAGAGAAGGAATTCCTGAGATTAGGAAACTCACTCTAACCACATATGCATGTTTAAGTTTGTGCTCAATAAGAGCTATTTCAGTAAAAACCCCAACACCTTCACCAATACGTGCAATGTTAGTCAGCTATCAGCCTTCCAAACACAGTAGAAACAGTCATTTACTTGCACTATCTCTGTAAAACATGACAGTATATGCCCATTTAGTTATTACTTGCTCTCGAGCCTTCTCCAGTTGTTGAACAAGGTCCTCCCGTTCATGTGCTGCAAAGTGGCGAGCCCCAACTTCATCATCTCCAAGTCTTTGCTTTGCTATTGTCATTCGAAGGAGCTGTGATTACAAAAACAGATCTGGTAAGCCAGAGAACACAGGCTGTAGCATCAGAGTACATCTGCATTAGAATGAGGAAAGCTATCATAGATTTCATCTCTTCCAGGCCAAACAGCTGGTATTATTTAAGACAGACGGAATTTTCTGAGCTGAGGGCTCAATTCTGTTCTCAGTGAAAAATTCCAGTTGAACATTCAAAGCATCAACGGAAGCTGAATTAGACCCTGCAACAAACAGTCACCAGAGTATACAAAAGATGAAAGACCATGTAAGCACAGACACGTGGTCAATGCTTTTTAGGAGTGACACGAACTAATCCCAGTCAGACTAAAACTAGAGAATTCTCAGAAATCGATTTTCATATGTAAACCTGAAAATTCTCTGCAGTAGAGAACTCTTCCCAGCTAAGAATAAAAAGGCACAAAATGGCTTGCCTAGCTTCATTTTACTGATACCATTTAAAATCCCACTGTGCTACACCAGTGCAGAATTTTCATTAACAGTTGCTAATACATTTGCTTGTGCACTATTTTTTTTTATCTACTCACAAAAGTTAATTCATATTAAAAACAAAAAAAAATGACCAACAACAAAAGGACTTGGTCAAAATGTTCGAACAGCTAATGAACTCATGAGCTTTGTGATTGCTGAAAACAATGTGACTTGGATTAATACACAGTTGTATTCAATACTCAAAGCAAAAAGCAACCAGCTTTCAAGAATCATGGAGTATTAAAATAACAGTCTATACGGCATTCAGCAATTACAGTTGTTTATATTAAGTACAACTAGGCAAAAGTGTTGCCTCCCCATGGCCTCATTTGTAGGAGCTCCATGGAGACTAGAGAAACCCACCACAGCAACCAGCCTGACTTTCCCTGTATCTTTGACTTCACCAAGGAATTAATGTGCATCATTATATTGCAGAGTTAGGAAAAAAAAAAAATAAAAATCAATCTTCTGAAGTAGAAGATTGTACATTAAAATCTATCTTTGGTATTTATGGGATGCCAGTCACCATAGCTGCAATGTGCCAATTAAAATCCTGCTGATGCAAGACAGACTACCAAAATCATCCTCCCCACTTATTTCAGTTTCAATTCAGTGCCAGTCACTGAAGCTAGTACAACTTGTTCTGATAAGCAGTTCACTTGCTCAGGGGACGCTGTGCCCCCAAAAGTAACTAGTTTTGGCAAACTGCATTTCCCTATCCCCACAGGGAAAGTACAAACCACTGCACAGTTAGTAAGGCTGAATGGATCCTATGAGATATAATTCCTATTAATTTCTTTATCAAAACAAGTAAGTCAGAAGGGCAACTAGCAAATCCTGGAATGGCTTCATAGCTATGGGACTGTTTTTTTAAATGCTAAAAGGCTGATGAACAAAAGGTATGATAATGTGATTTAATTCAGCTAGGTTAATTTAATGTCTAGAATCTCTTGCTAGTGAGAAATGCAGTAAGAAACAATTGTAATAACATTTTGAGGACTCAATCTTGTTCAGAAAAATTGGAAATGGGAAGGGGAAATCACACTTTACCAATGTCTCCAATGCCCACAGCAGAGCAAAACTTCTGCGTAACCCTCAGCACGAGGCTGGGAACTGGATCAGAGCTGTGACTCATGCGCTATGGCCAACTCTCCTCCAGTCCAGGAGAGGGTGTGGCATAAGGTGCAATTATAACTGCAAACTATTATTACTTGCAAGGTCATACAGTCAGCTAGTAAAAGAAGAATTCTTTATTTACTATTGATTTGGAGGTGAAAAAAAAAAATATGAAGTCTTATGAAAAGAATGCTTCAGAAATCCAAATTCAGCCAGTAAAAGCAGCATTATAAACATACAAAAAATAAAGTAAAATACCAATCCATAAAACAACAGAGTGGTTCTTCCAGACAGTTGGCCAATCAGGGAGTTGACAGGGCAGAACAGGCCAAGTCCTTTAATTCTGCATTGTGAATGTCTCATGAGGCAGCACCACCTGCTATAAAATTCCTCCCTGAAAATGCTGTGACCCAAAGAGACACTAAGTGTTATGCCAGAGGCTTAAGGGTTTATTTCATATATTAGTGCTTTGTTATAAACTTTATACACTTGCCCTCTGGCTGCTGTACTTTTACTTCTGTCATTCAGAAATCACTGAGGAAAGGACTGCTCAACTTTTTGCAGCTAGAGAATAGGTTAACGCTACCCCCCAGGACTCTGTGAACAGCATCCACAGCTGAGAGGATTTAAATTAATGTCACCTTAGCAGAGATATCTCCTGTTTGTCAAGAACTCATAGGTCATTAACCAAAATAATCCAGTGCTTCAAGCCACTAGGCTTTATTGTTTTAACATCACAGCTTTTTCTTAATCAGCGTCAGAAAAAAATAATGATTTATAAAGTAGCAACTCTGTAGCAGTCTCACAATGCCCCAAACAGGCTTCACTGCCATAGCTGCTGTGCAGGCTAGGAGTCCACAGACAATGTCTGCGCCGAAGTTGTACATTCCTGATTTTTGATAAAACATGCAGAAGAAAAAGTGAAACAAGCACAACCAGTAAACTCTTCATGGAAGGCAGAAACGATCATGTTCAGCCACAGCCACTGACAGCAATTGTCTTCACCACGTTGTCTACAAAATCTTAAGAAGTGAACCAGAACTATGCAAATTTGCTACCTTAAGTCCTAGTTCTGCCAAAACATATGCACCACATTTAACATTTTGCACTGTTGCTGCATAAATGATCATATGCCTTATAACAACAAACTGTCAGCAATACCGCAGCCATTGTTTTCCATGCATCCTCCTCTCATTTAACGCTGCCCTCAACAGCTTACAAAACCATTTCTTTGCATGGGTAGGAATCCAAGTGAAGGCAACTGAGTCATCTAGTCTTCCAGAAGCCTCCAGTTTCTCTTATGCTTTCCGTTTTCACCCTTTTACAAGAGAGAATCAGATTTCCTACCTATCTTTTTCTAAGTTTCAGTAATTGTTCTCCGAGCATTGCTGCCAGAACATTAGGAAGGAAAAAGATTCTCAAATAACTGTCATAAACATAGAACAGTTTTCATGTGTCAGAGCTGATAAGAGATTGTGATCAATCACAAAAATAAGGAGTCTTAGATAACTGTTGCTGGCGTACTGCAGTCTAACTATTGCTGTATTTCTCAAATTGCATCAACAAATCCTTCCAGAGTCTGCCTGAAGAAGTTTTATTATTTGTGCCAACGGAATTCTAGATTAAATTAGAGGAAAAAATTAGTCCAGTTAAACCAAATGCAAGTAATTTGTTATTGCCTAACTGATAATGTACTTAACGTGATTTCAACAAGTAAGATGTCATCAGTTTAAGGTCTTCTTGCTAATCCATGTGACTGTATCCTACTAGTAGCAAACATTAAAGCCACGAAAAACAAGTCAAGCCATCAAAACATTTCTTTATCAATAGAGCTAATGTGTGATATTTAAAGAGTTTTTTTTCTTTTTTAGTCCTGCAAAGCTCTTGCCACTCAGTGACAAAGCCTGCATGAGTCACCCCTGCTCAGACACAGGCAGAATTGTTCATCCATAAGCAGCTTCACTTGCTGCAAAAGCAGCTGTTTGTTCATCTCTTGCCAGAAGTAAGGTTGACGTAGACCAGCTGGGCAGGATGCCCTCCCTCACTTTGGAAAAAGCAGAGAGAAGAATGCAGGGGGAAAATGTAAGAACAAGCAAATTATTATAGTTCTTTGTTTTTGTATATACCATGCATTATCTGGACTCCAGTGCCTGAAGTAACCCAGCTGCCAGTACAGGAGAACTGATGAGCAGAACAGAATGGCTTCGGGAACAAGCCTAGAATTTTATCACTGAAGCTAGGAGGGAGCAAAATCTGACACAGGAGGAGAGCGTTAAATCCCTCAGAGAGATGGCAATGCTTTTTTAGGCATTTCAAAAAACAGCAACCTGACTCTAAAATAAGCTCTATTTCTCATTTACTAGAAAAGTGAAGAATGTGTTCCAAAAATGAAAAACCTAGTCTAAATTAATCCTTGTCTGATGCAGTTCTTTCCTCCCCCTCTTTATTTAGTGATGCACTATTTTGCACCTTTTGGAGAGGGGGGTATGGTGGGCAGAATAACTTTTTGTATTTTTCCATTCATTATGACTATCATGAATTTAACTTCATGCTGAGGATACAGATGTCACAAAGATAACCCGCTAATATCAAAACAACCCACAAGGGCAAACCTAAACAGAGCCAATTGAAGCACAAAGAATTAGGGTCTGTGTTACCAAGATCACATTGTTCTAAAGAATTAGAATAGGTAAACAACCTTGATATTTAAATAGGTTGTAGTTTTACTAACTTTGTGTTCTGTTTGTAATCACAAACCCTTGTTATCTGTTCAGGACTGGCTTGGGAGAGGCTGTACGGCATAATATTAGTACTGGCGAACTGCAAGGCATTGTCTTCTACACTGTAATATAGTTAAAACAATAACATGCAAATGAAAAAAAACATTGAGAAAGCTGGTCTTCGAAGACCTGAGCAAGTTACACTGAATGCTACACATACTACAAATTCAGGTGTCACCTGACCCTTTCCCAGCCCCCTGCATACCTTCAAGCAAGTCCTTTGTGATAAACAATGAATAAAACTACATTACCACAATATGTGGTATTTTATGTTTAAAATAAAATCAATAAAATGAACTTAAACAGAAAGAAAAAACCCACAACTGAATACTTAGAAGCCACATCATTTTTGTTCACATTTTTAAATCCTGTAACTTTAAAACTGTAGTTCAGGGAGGGAAGTTATCATTAATTATTTGTTTCATTTTTTACTTCGTTAACCACCTTGACTCAAATTCAACCTCTCACTAGTTTGATCTCTGAATGTACTTTTGCATACAGCTCCAGCTGTGAATGTTACACACATTTGGCTTGAGTTTAAATATTTCAATTAACAGAGACAACAGGAGTTTGATTAATACCAAATGGCAGATTTTGAGCAATGTTGCATATAACTTGCTAAATTTAGCAATAAAATAAATTGGTTATGTAAGGGTAGTAGGATGAGGGCTTAATACAAAGCTATATATATATACTTGTGATCAAATGCTTCATATTTTTGAAAGGAAAAATTATGCCTCCCCCGGTTTTAGCATCTACTAAAATTTTGCATTTTCATTGCAAAAAAAATTAAAATTATCACATGATGAAGACAATGTGCTTATCTGTACTTATTTGTAAGAGGAAATACCACCAAAAAATATATTTTTAAAAAAGAAAAAAAGAAAGTCTGAGATCATTAATGCAAGGGTAGGTGCAAAATACATAGTTAAGGACAACAGAGCAAAAGCAGCATACAAAAATCTATAATAAGCTGCACTTACTGGTATCCTGTACAAGCTTCTTTTGTTCTACTGTTTTGAGTATTTATTGTAATCAAAGTATTCTAGAAGTTCTGTAACCCATTGTTTTATTGGTTTCCTAAGAAGTAAATGAAAAACTCAAGCCCAGTTTACACATTCCATCCCATTTACTGATAACAAAAGTTTATAATACCTTATTGTCCCCTTGTACTTCTCCCAGTCTCTGTTGGAGCTCTCTAATCTCTTCTCCAAGATGTTTATTTTGATCTTGAGCCTCACTCAGTAGTTGAGCAAGATTTGCCTAGAAAAGGAGTAAATATCAGTCAGAAGTTAGTGCCTATGGAGAGAAGTGTAAGTGGTGATTGAAAAGAAACCTAGACTTACTCCTTTATCTGCCAACAATCTTTACTTTTATTGTTGTTGGTACCCAGACTTCATGCTTCATTAGAGAGATAACAAGAAAAGTCTCCAGGGTTCCTTTATCTTTAATAGTAGTAAATACATACAGCATGTGTGCATACACGTTCCCAGAACAGCATACAAACCCCCAACAAGACAAAGTGAAAACATTTATGGTAGTTCTGTTATCTTGGCTGGTGGGAAGAGCAAAAGGCAGAGTACTTTGACAATATTTATACAAAGTTGACAAAATAATAGTTTTAAACTTGCATATAATTAGACAAAAAGCACAGATGAGAAATAATTATGATATAATTACATTCCCTAATAGTGTTTACAGCAGATTCCTCGACAGTAAAATAGGATGCCAGACGGAGTCCCTGCCCCTATACAGAGCTGTACCATGGATATCGAGTAGCACAAAACTCAAACGTGACCTGACTTGTGTTGTTAGCTAGTATGCAGACTTCTAGAAAAAGCAAGATGAAAACCAGAGATTAAAAACAAACAGCCTCCTCTCAGCCCCATATAATCCAGGTCAAAAGTTATCATTCATATTAACCTACTGAGTTAGCAGGGCAAGCAGTCTAGTCTATAATTTTACAATTAAATTCCATCAGCTTGATCACTAGCCAAAAAATAATGCAATCTCCTCCTTTTCTATCTATGATATCAGAAAATGAGCAAATACGACAGATAAATTTATTATATTTTCACCCTAAAAATATCTCACGAATACACAAAAACTGACTCAGCACAGGAAAAGCCTACCAATGACAGCTCCTCTACAAGAGTTATAATCATAGTAGCTAATGTGCAGCCTTTCAAGACATTGGTTCTGGACAGCTAGGCGTGTCATCCATTGCCATAAATCTGAAGAGTATAACAAGAAATGAGCAAAGAATTTTCAGATCTTCTAAACATGACTTAGTAAAGCCCCATGAGTCAACATTTTGAAGCTACTCTTAACCTACTCCCTGGGTTTGAGGCCAACTTATCAACTGACTTTTCCTAGTTCTCTCTCAGTATTTTAGGTTTAGTTTTAGATTCCCTACTTGCTATTTTTCTCTTCCAACTCCCCCGTTTCTCTATTTTGATACCTGTCTTTCTTTTTCAGTCCTTCTCTTTTACCCAGTCATTCTCATTACCACTTGACAGTCTCATTGGATGTTTTTGTGAGTTTTATCTTTAAAACTCATACACTATCAAACCAACAAGGTGTCTGATAGCCATTCCTGCAATCTTTCCCCTTGTTTACTAACAATCGCTATTTCCACATATCCTGTATTATATTTAGGAGAACTATTAATATGAATGTATTAACAAGAGTATTAACATGAATATAGCTATGCATGCATTTGACCATTTGTAGGATTAGACTGTTAAACTATAATCAACTGGAACTTCTGTATGCTACTATACGAAAAAGCTGGCTCCAAATTACAATTGGTCTAAAACAGCAACAGCCTCCAACTTTTAAACAGGAAAAATAACTTGAGAAACTGATATATCCTACCTGATGAACAACAAGCCTAATTCACTGCTACAGCTTCTGTACTTTTGGTTCTCTGAGATCAAAGGTCCAGAAGAAAGTAAGGTAAATTTCCCCACAGTTTTGGAAGAGATTAACACATTTTTTAAACTACTGATTAACCTGAAGACTGCAAATAAATAATTTGAGAAAAGAGTATAATAGCAAAAAAATGCAAATAGCAAATTATAGGGCCAAAATTAAGCTGCCTCTAATTTTATTTTCACAACAGCAACCATTCAAGCAATGCAAAAGGTTCCTCAAGTATGCTTTGGTAGGATGATTTTTTTTCTACATGTTAAACAAATGTGTAATAGTCATTCATATACTGAATGAATCAAGAAACTTCATAACACATTCAGCCAACAGTTTTGAGAGGTACTTCTTAATGGCTGTTTAAAAGAAATAAACCAAAGAACACATGTTTGCAGAAAATGGTATTTAAACTGAAGTACCTGCGGCTACTGCTCAGTTGCCTTTTTTTTTTTTTTTAAGAAAGCTGACTTTCAATAAAGGCCATCCAAGCACCAGACTGAGTTAGTTAAAAGGAACATGATTTGCACAAACCTCCCCGAAACACTTCTATTTATAAATTCCCTTTTTATGAGGAATTTGAACAACTCCTAACACTGCAATAGCACATGTAATTTCAACACCTGGGAAGAACTCAATCTCACTAATCAGTGTTTACAGCCACAACACTGGAATTCTAGCAGTCTGTAGTCAAAATCCAGCTCCCAGTAACTGCAGAAAAGGCATTACCATGCCTATACTAAATCTTCCTGCTCAGATTTATTTCCTTTAAAACCATTTCTCTGGGACTGCAATTCTATGCTGAATTTTATTTGTCAGTCATATAAATGACTTAACGTGACAAAAACCTTTATATGCCAGACAAGGATTTTGGAAGAAACTTTAAACGAAGAATTTTAGACACCAAAGTAAAACAGCCTCATTTAAGCATGCTAAAAGCATTACAATGAGCTAAGTATAAACTTGCTCCTTAATACAAAGCTTCTATTATACTTCTGTTAAACTAAAACAACCAGGATATGTCACAGAAGTAGTCTCCAGCAATTATTCATTTCCCTGGCTTAGAGGTTCCATACAACGTCTAATTTAGATTGTTCTGAGTTTTAAAGGTTTTGGCAAAACCTCATTAAAGCTTTCGGTTAAATGTGGATAGAAGGAGAAACACTTGGTTTTCAAAAGTGCTCTACTGGGCTTTAAGACAGCCAGCCAAAAGGATACGTTGAGCAACACCTGGACTTGGTACCATTTCTTTGGCATATATAAGAAAGCAAAACATATGGCTGAAAGATGATAAAACTAACAATGGAGGACTGGCTTCGTAATCCTGTAAGCATGTATTTTTTGAGGAAAGGGGAGAAATCTATGCAAGGAGAAAGGTGATTCATTTTTCCACCTGGCAACTTCTTTTCAATATTCATAGAACAAACACAGAATTCACTTAGAAATTCACAAGTTACTTCAGCAAACAATACAGCTCATATCATTTACTTGTGTAACAGAGAACAACTCTCTGAAAATTAGCCAATTACAGCTTTTCTAGACTCAATTTCTTCAACAGTTTCTTTTGATTCTAGGTGAAGCCTGAAAAAGCCTCCTGTAAATGTCGAAGACTTTACTTCTCTCACTCACACTATTCAAAATGAATGCCAAAGTTCTGATGAAGAGAGATTTCTCAGACATGGGTAATGGGAGGAAAGATGCAGAGGTCTATACCTTTCTGCTGCCTCATCTTGTCTTACCCCTGCAACAACCCACAGCAGTGGAAGCTACTTGTTTCTACGACCCTCTCTCAATGCAACTGTCTGTAATACTAAATAACAGATAGTGCTTCATTCATGTCTCTGATTATCTGCCAGGTATCAGACAATCTTTCTAGAGCTCTGTCCACCTCTGGCGACATCCAGTTTTCAGCGGGTATTCTTGAGCCTCTGTAGCATGATAAGCTATTTGTTTTACATCTGTCTGTCACAGGAAGCTTGCATGGATCATAGAATATCTCAAGTTGGAAGGGACCCAGAAGAATCAGTGAGTCCAGCTCCCTGTTCCTCATAGGACTACCTAAAACTAAACCATATGACTAAGAGCATTGTCCAGACACTCCTTGAACTCTGACAGGCTGGGTACCATCACCACTTCCCTGGGGAGCTGCTCCAGCGAGTGACCACCCTCTCAGTGAAGTATGATTTGACTGCAGTACTAGACGTAAGAAACTCTGCCCATATTCCTTTTATCTCTGATCAAAAGCAAGTGTGATCATAGCCAACAAACCTACCAGAAGCTAGGAAGAAAGGAAAAAAAGACTGATGTGAGAGTGCCAAGTGGGAAGTATCTACTTTTTTCACATAGGGAAGAAAAAGCACCATAAATTAGAACCAATCAGAGTGAAAGACTCAATGGGATGGGATCACAAGACCTTACCCTTTTCAACTCAGACTTTGTTAAAATGTGCGAGAACATTTTTGGGATAGATGGTGGAAGAGAACCTTACTTTTGGCCACAGATGCACATCTAAAACTACTGACAAAAATACCTATAAATATTTATTAACATAAGCTAGTGAATACCTGTCAGACAGCAACAGATCTTTGCTCACTACTGACCAATGACCCAAGAAGAAGGGGGTGGGGGAAAAAAAAAAAAAGTAACTCCAAATAGTCAACCCCGGCATTATGCACTACACTTGAATTTGGCTCCTTTAACAATTTTGCAAATCTAGCCACACATACATACAGTGTTATTTTTCTTCACACCACTTAAAAAATGATGGATAGTAACACAGTCTTTAATATAGCTCTCAATTCTCTTGCACATAAATCTTATCCGACACTTACAAAAAAAATAATTTAAAAAAAGGACTTTCTGCCTTTAGATACTGCCTGAAAAAGTAATTTGGCGAGGGGGAAACTTCCAACATACCTTTACAGTTTAAAAATATTTTTAAATACAAACAAGCATCTCTATACTGCAGTTTACAGACTTTTATGTTTCTTTCAGCCATACCTTCAAACAAAGAAGAACACCGATTATAGGGCTGACAGAAAAAAAGTTTGATGAAGCATTAAGCACACTTGATGGGTGTAACTGATAGCAATTTAATCGCAGTTTCTCCTCCAAGGCATTCATATGATTGCAATGGCTGAATTAATACAACAAAACCTGCTTTGCTTACCAACTACCACTGTTCACTCAAAGGTAGAACAACTGACAACCTTCCCTAGCACCAGCTTCTTTATGATAAAAAGCAAAAATTACTGTGTTTTTCTCTTTAAGTTGAAAAACCACATAGAGAAGACTTCTGAAGTAATAAGTCCTGGGCATATTAAACAAAATACGCTTAA